TTCCCATTCCCATTTCCCATTCCCGTTCCCATTTCCCATTCCCATTCCCTGTTCCCTTGTTTCCCATTCCCATTCCCCATTCCCATTCCCTGTTCCCTGTTCCCCGTTCCCCATTCCCATTCCCCATTCCCATTCCCATTCCCTGTTCCCTTGTTTCCCATTCCCATTCCCATTCCCATTCCCATTCCCATTTCCCATTCCCATTTCCCATTCCCATTCCCTGTTCCCTGTTCCCCATTCCCATTCCCTGTTCCCTTGTTCCCCATTCCCATTCCCCATTCCCATTCCCTGTTCCCTGTTCCCCGTTCCCCATTCCCATTCCCCATTCCCATTCCCATTCCCTGTTCCCTGTTCCCCATTCCCATTCCCCATTCCCATTCCCATTCCCTGTTCCCTTGTTTCCCATTCCCATTTCCCATTCCCATTCCCATTCCCTGTTCCCAGTTCCCCATTCCCATTCCCATTCCCATTCCTATTCCCAGTTCCCCATTCCCATTCCCATTCCCCATTCCCATTCCCATTCCCTGTTCCCATTCCCAGTTTCCCATTCCCTGTTCCCCCAGGATCGTCTCCCCCTCGGCCTCACCTTGCAGGGGATCCTGGAGCGAGGTCGGCCGGGATTTGGGATGGGGGAGCCGGGGGGGGTTATGGAGTTATGGGGGTTATGGGGTTATGGGGGTTATGGGGTTATGGGGGTTATGGGGTTATGGGGGTTATGGGGTGGGGGTTAGTTATGGGGTGGGAGGTACTGGGGGGGGTTATGGGGTGGAGATATGGGATGGGGTTGTGGGGTTATGGGGGTATGAGGTGGGGTTATGGGGTGGGGTTATGGGGTTATGGGGATATGGGGATATGGGGTGGGGTTATGGGGTGGGGTTATGGGGATATGGGGTGGGGTTATGGGGGTTGTTGGGTGGGGGGTTATGGGGTGGGGGGTTAGGAGGTGGGGTTATGGGGTTAGGGGGTGCTGGGGGGGGTTATAGGGGTTACGGGTGGGGGGTGCTGGGATTTAGGGAATTCCCTGGGCTGGGCAGTGCTGGGATTTGAGGAATTCCATGGGCTGGGCTGTGCAGGGATTTGGGGAATGCCATGGGATGGGCAGTGATGGGATTTTGGGAATTCCATGGGATGGGCTGTGCAGGGATTTTGGGAATTCCATAGCATGGGCAGTGCTGGGATTTTGGGAATTCCATGGGCTGACAGTACTGGGATTTTGGGAATTCCCTGGGCTGGGCGGTGCTGGGATTTTGGGAATTCCATGGGCTGAACTGTGCTGTAATTTTGAGAATTCCATGGGCTGGGCAGTGCTGGGATTTTGGGAATTCCCTGGGCTGGGCAGTGCTGGGATTTTGGGAATTCCATGGGCTGGGC